CGTTTACATGCGTCCTATTAAGTGTTACATTGGACGCTTAAAAGTGTCTTATCAGTTAGGGTCTTTTGTTAAGTTTTAAATTTTTTTTGGTTATTTTAGTTTTTGATAGTTCTACTATGACACCCTAAAATTTATGAATCTACCCCGTATGAGACTTGTTTAGTTATAGTTTCCCTTTCTAAAAGTTTAAAATATGTTGGTATTGCACCTTAATGATTATATTTTTGTCGCGTAACATTTTAAACAATCGATATATTTTTCATTTTCGATTATTAGATGCACCGTTACTTAATAAGATTGAGATTTATAATTAAACGGATTGCTTTTGAGCCTTGTCAACATTGGATAAACAGTTATTTTGATTCGTAACATTGGTAACAATACGCACTAATTCGTGGCATGTTTAATTTTATAGTCGACGGTTAAAATTGATAGAAATTATTAGCATTCAATTAAATTTGTCATGTTTGTATTACTGCTTAGGATATTATATAAGTAGTAATTATATAAGAACACAACGTACTTGTGAATCGTTAATTACTTATTATGTCTGTTTATACTTTTCTATATAATTTACTACTATCGTCTAATTAGTTTATATTATCACTAATACATGGCTCTATGTTTTGCTATCCATTAAGTTCCCTTTGTCCAAAAAAATAATTTATATTAGATTTTGAGATTTGTATTAGTTTTATTACAAATTTAAAAATTTAACGTGAACTATTTCCTGTGATGGAGAGAATAAGATATATATGTCTTTTAAATCTTTATGCATGAATTCAACATTAATTTGATTGTCATGTTATGTTTTTCAAAATATATAGATAGAATATAAACAACACCACGAATCCACAATAAAAATGTGTTATATCTTCTCATTGTTGAGATTCGAATATCTACACAGAATATCAAATTAAAATTAAATTTTAAATTTCTGTATTTTGCTATTTTATTTTTGAGGATTCAATTTACTTCAAAAATATAATGATGTCACGAAATAAATCAATTATAATATAACTAAAAAAAGCGTAAAAAAGACACTAGTTTACATTTTCGGAAAAAAATAAAAGTGAAACTATAATAGGAGAAGGAAACGAAAACTTATAGAGGGAATTTGGTTTTAACCAAAAAAATGGGCGGCATTTTTCTTTTTCTTTTGACATAAAAGGACTAGAAGAGGAGTTTTATAATTTTTTTGTCCAGAGAATACTTCCTTCCCCATTTTCAACCCTGAAAGAGGGGAATCTCCGCCACCACAATTCAACCAAAAAATTTTGAGGTTTTTTCTTCCTCAATCGGATCTAGCATATTAATTATGGTCAGATCTAGTTTTCGATTGAGATTTTTTTTTTTCTTTCTTAGAAGATGGTTTCGATTTCTATTGGAGTGTTGGAGGTATGTCCCTTGGAAAAATTTGGAAAAAAAAGGAGAAAAACAATTCTTGAGTACAAGATCGGTGGGGATTTCTAGTCAACGCTGTCACTACATTGGAACAACGATGAACGAACGAAGGAGCTGGAATTGGCAAGGAAGGAGGAGGAGTTGCAGAAAAAAAGTCTGAAGCCAAATTGAAAGAACATCGGGCGGTAGAGAAGAAAGTGAAGGCTCTTGAAGCAGTGGAGAGGAAAAAAAAAGGATTACCGAGAAACCCTAGATGAGGGCTGAATTACAAGCACAAAACGAAGCAAAGCAGAAAGAGAAGGTAATGTTTTCACTTCCCATTATATATATGTTTTCCAAAAAAAAAAAAAAAAAAGCTAGATATATCGAAAGCTAACTGATAGTCTTTTATCATGTCAATTAGTTGCAGTTCTGTGGATTTTCTTTCTTAAATGGAGAATTGATTTATTTGAATGAATTGTTGTTTTGGTTAATTTCCAATCGTTTGAGGGAAGGTGATCCCTAATGTGTTTGAGATAAATTACTTAGACATATGCACTTGAAGAATTCAGTTGTTTCTTTCCAATGGACATATTTAGATGCTTAGGAATATGTTCGGCTATGATTGTTACTGTTGTTAATTATCGTGTTAGTTGATGCTTTTCACCTTGTTCATATACGTAAGCACTTGCTACTAAATTGCTTCAGGCCTTGTGCTAATCTGAATACCCTTAGACAGAAGAAGCAAGAAGTAGATGATGAACTAAAATTGTACGGTTCTTCACTTGTCTTTCTTTTTAATCTTGAATTATTTGTGAAGTCCCCCATTTATTTGTTTATCGTAGTCTTAGTTTTCATGTGTTTTCCAATTCATAAGTAAACTCTATAGCAACTTGTTGTAGTTTAGCATGGTTTCCTGATTAAAAGCTTTGCTTTACATTAACTGTGATATCCCCTTTGCATAGCTTATCATGTACTTATTTCGTCTTTTTCCTTTTTTCTTGTGATGCAGGGATCATGCCACTTAAGTTCATCAATTCTCTGCTCAAGCTGTGCGTTCCAGATATTGATCATGCAGGGATCATCTATTTCGAATTAAATTCTGGGTTCTTGTTTTTTTTCCAGTTTTTTTTTGGGATTAATTTTTTTTTTTTTTTGGCCCATGTATGTACTTGATGTTAATTCATTGGTTTTATATATTGATATGCAGAAAGGATGTGAAAGTTATTAAGAAATTTAGTTACGTGCATAAATGATGTAGCTATTAAAGGAGGCTAGCACATACTCACAGTAAGCCCCTTCTCTTTTGAGTAGCTTTGGGCAGAGTTTTATTTTTAGAAATGATCTATAAGTTTTTGTTCAAGTCATACTGTGAACTTTGGATATGAAAAGATATATATTAGTTGTTGTTCATGCCATCTTTGGGTTCAGAGTGTCTGAATTTTTATATATTAAATGAAAGATGAATGAGGGTGTTGATGTTTCTGTTCTGGTTGTTAATGTTATTGTTGTTGTTTGTTATTGCTATGGCATCAACATCAGAATTTGAGCCTGAGTAGGGGAGTATTTAGATGATTAAGAGGATTGAAATTGAAATAATAAATGTTAACTAAAGCTGCTACGCTTATAAGTTGGGAGATGAGGGGTTCTGGTTTGTGAATCTGAGGAAAAAAACCATAATGTTGTATTTTATGTAGGGAATTGTAACCAGTGATTATTGTGCATGCTTAAATTAAGTTTATTGATTATCCTTGTTATTGTTAACCATGCAAATCTTCAATGCTTGGGCTAAACCAGAAAGTAGATATGACTGTATGATGGTGATGGTGCCTCTGTTTTGGATGTTGTTTTTTGATTTGCAAATAGAAAAAGGGAGATGAAAATGTAATGTGAAGTTCATTAAGATCATTGGGAGGAAGAAGGAAGAGTGTTAGAGATGGCATTTCTGTTGGGTGCAGTGAAAGGGGAGCCACTAGTGACAAAGTTGGCTGCAGTGGCTAAGTATGCTGTATTTCGAGGAGCTACAATCGCCTCATTGTTATACTCCCCACTGGACTATGCACTTTCCAAGAACCCTCGGAACAAATCTTCAATTTAAAATTCCAACTAAACCAGCTTTATCAGATTAAGGTAAACAGTTTCTCTTAGGAAAGAGATCTTTTTCCTCTCTTTTCCTTGTCTGGTTTTCTGGTTCAATTTTAAAGATACATTCTGATGACTGGTTTTTGAATGGTTTGGTTTACATGGTAGCAGAATCTTTTTGACTGATTTCTCTAAGTGGAATCTAGTGAGGTTTTTGCATGCTTTGCAAATTTACATTGGCATGTGTATGAACTTATATGAACTAAGTTGACATAAGTTTTAATAAATGCCTATTCAAAACCTTATTGTCTTCCCTAATTTCTCAGAGTTGTTGAAGCATTTTTGCTAGTGCAGGGGGGCATGGAGAATAGTTGGCCAACAGTCCTAGTAAACTTGAGAGCGTCACACAAATTCTCATTGACGATTGAGCTCATCCACTTGAAGATTTTGATGATTTAGCGTCTTTTTTTGGTTCTTTAGATAAGTGTATGCATTCTCAAATGATGAGATTTATGTATCTTTTTGTTGGACATGAGATTTTGTGCATCTTTTTGTTGGCCATGAGATTTTTTTTCATTGTCAATTGAGATGTAATGGAAGATTGTTCAATAATTATATTAGAATTTTTTTTTTATTTTTTTCGAAGATGCTATTGGGACACATTGAAACGTCCGTACAAAAAAGAACTAGTTTGGACACTTAAAAACGTCTCAATTGGAAATATTTATTTGGACACTTAAGAGTGTCTCAATTGGAAAATTTTATTTGGACACGAGTGTCTCAATCGGAAACATTTAACAGGACGCTTCAATCAAATGGGACACTTCTTTGCGTTCCATAGACCTATTATGACATTGATCTGGAGGACACTCTTGCATGTGTCCCAATAGCCGATATGTCCCAATAAGCTACATCTCGGGACACTTTTGAGCGTCCTTATATGACCTTTTTGTAGTAGTGAGGAAAATATTCTGAATTATCTTGGGGATACATGGATTCCATACAAGGAACATTTTTTTAGTGCTTGGACAGATAGAAAGTTACATTTTGGAACCCGTTCTTCATCAAAAGCAGAAGGTGCACACTCAAAATTGAAAGGATACTTATTCGTCTCTACTGGCAATTTGTTGGGGGTCAAGCAGAGAATGTTTCTTCTTCTTGAAAATGATCTTAAGGACATTAAAGCAAGGATAGCACAAGAAAGGATTCGAGTTCCTCACAAGTGCAATATTCCCTTTTTCGGACAAGTTGTGAATCGTTTGTCATTGTTTGCCTTGGATAAGTTAGAACAACAATTTGAGATGTTAAAAAATTAGAAGATGAGTATGACATTCAGTGGTAGTTTCACGGCCGCTATGGGATTACCTTGTGCACACATGATGAGTTCCTGGATAGGAAAATCAATACCTTTAGCATCTATACATCCGCAATGGCGCATTGACACTAGGGATTCTCTTTTTATTGATGGCCAGGCGAATAATGGTGATTCTCTCTACCATGAATTGGTAAGTAGGTTGGGAGGAAAATACATGCAAATGCCTCTCAATGGGAAGAAACATATTGAAGAAACATTGCATGAACTAGTTAACGAAGAGGAGTCTCCATTGAATTTTGAGCTAGAGGTGCAACAAGGTAGAGGAAGACCATCTAAAGGAAAAAAGAAAAAGGGATTCAGTTCAACAACTAGAGACCCGTCACAATTTGAAGTTGTTGAAGCAGGATTGAGGAGAGCAACTCATAGAAGTGGAGAAGGTAGTAGTCAGACAAGCCAAATCGCCACCATTAATTTGAGTGAAGATCAAATCCCAACACATCTGGATGATAGAGATCCACTGAATTTTGTTGATTTGAATTTCCCACCTACTCCATGTGATGAGTTTCAATGGTATTGAAACATGATTTCAGGTATTCATTGTTGTTTGGTTAAATTTTGGTGTTCTATTTTCATCTAACCTCATTAAAAATGGTAATTAAATTTATGTTTTGGTTTCATGTTGCAGGTTTAAAGTTGCTGCTACCTTATAAGAAAGAACACCATATAAATAAAGATTACTTGCAGCTGATCTGTGTGCTTTGCAAATGTCGTTAGGCAATGATGTTACCTCTTGGATGCTTCTAGTATTTCCCAACAGTTTTATGGTATTCTGTAGCAACAAAAATTATTAAGTTCTTGTCATTCTATTAGCAAAAACAAGAAATGGGCAGTTCTTTACCTTTTTGGATGCTCATTATTTTATTAAAGCAGATTATGGTATTTTAAATTTGTTTGCAAGCTCGTTAGTGCAGAGCACTTTTATATGTATATCTCTGGTCGCTCGTTAGTGCAGAGCACTTTTATATGTATAGCTCTGGTCTTTGATTCCCAAACGGGACCCTACGAAGTTGGTTTTGGATCAAAGCATTTATAGCCAAGTAAAATCAACAGTAATGCATTTTGGATCAAAAGTATTTAAAGGATAGCCAAACATGAGAGAAATCTATTCAGTTTTTTGAGATTCGGGAGAGAGCTGTGAGAGAAAAAAAAAATATTGAGATTGACTTTATAAGGGTATGATTGGAAAAGAAATGCAAATTTTGATCTGGAGGCTAAAAATAACCCTGGCAATATCACTGGCCATACGATAAATACCTTCTGTTTCCCTCCATCTTAGTTTCATCTCATGCATCTTATCCTTATCTATCTATAATAAGCTAATATAAAAACCACGTTTGGCAACTAATATCTTGCAATTTGATTGGCCGGGCGGTAGTCACGTGACATTTTTCTTGCCTCACAGTTACATCATCTTTTTAATTGGGGGCAAAATAGTCTTTGAATAAATAGTTATAAATCAAAAAACCAAGATTCCTCCATATCCCCCTTCCCAAAACGACATAGTATGGAAGGGGGCTTATCTGCAAAAAAAATAGAAAAATTTTCCCCCAACCCCCCCACCAGTTAAAACACGTCGTATTATTTCACGTCCTCCCTTAATATCTCTTCCTCCCCAAATCATACCACCACCACCAACAGTCTTCCTCCCCAAACCGGCCTCCAATTCCTTCTCCCCCTTCTGAACCTTCCAGAAGCTCGTCTGCCATCATCAGTCCAATATCATGACGGATTCAAAAGGTAATTTCAAAAATACCTATTTCCAAATACTACCATCAAAAGGATTACCAATTAAGTCGGCTAAATTCTTCTTCTCCACTATAAAAACAGCTCCAAACATCCAACCCTGTAGCACAGTAGGATTCACTGATCAGGCAGCCTGAGTTTATAAGCTACCATTCCTACCTTTTCCAATATTTCGTAAGGACCATAATACAACGAGGTCAACTTCAAAGAGTTTCTTACTTCCACAGACTACTACTTATGTGGCTGAAGTTTTAAATATACCGACTCCTCAACATTCAACATAGTAAAGAACAATCTTTTTCTCTCTCTTCGCGTACTGTGGGCGAAAACACGTCCACTGTGTGCGATTAGTCTTCATCTCCGGCGCGTTCTGGTGCTTCACGATGGTGGGGAGGCCGAAGAGGAGAGGGAAAGGAGCATCACACGAAGCTGAGTTTGGGCAGCCGGAAGAGGAACTACGTCGTTCATCAGAGGTTTCTCCAACTGAGGTTAGTAAATCTGTGCTAAATCTGGGTGGGAAAAATCATGAATCTGAGATCTTGGAAAAGTTATGTCAACAAAAGATTGTTCAAATTGGAGAGTCCTCTACCTCTAATTTAACATCAAATCAGGGGAATGAAACTGCGGTTGAATCTAGGGTTCATGATGTATGGAGCACTTTTAACCCTAGTAAAATGGAAGGAATGAATAGGAAACTGGAGTATATTGAACCTAGCTTTGTGAATGATATGTCAATTGCAAAGGTACATAAATCGGAAATCCAAAGTGCTATTGAGTATTGGAAGCCATCAGTCATATGTTATGTGTTGGGTGCAAACCCCCCATTTTTTGTGGTTAATGGTTTTCTTCGTAGAATATGGAATAAGCAAGGTGTGGATAAGGTGTTGCTCATGGATAATGGCATTTATATAGTGAGATTTAGAACTTTATCAGCAAAAGAAGAGGTATTGAAGCAGACGGTACTGCATTTTGACAATAGACCATTGATAGTCAAAGACTGGAATGTAGAGGATGGCTTTAAGATTGAAGATGTGAAGAAGGTGCCAGTTTGGATCCAGCTCCCAAAGCTGCAGCTGAAATACTAGGAGACAAGAACGCTTAGTAGAATTACCAGTGTGCTAGGAAAACCTCTTGAAATGGATGAGATGACAGCTTCCAAGAATCGAGCAGGTTTTGCAAGAATTCTGGTTGAAATTGAGCTTTCAGAGAAAATCCAAACAGAAGTGTGGTTTGAAGATGAACATGGTGTCTTACAGGAGCAAAAGGTGAAGTATGAATGGCTCCCGGTTCAGTGCAAAAACTGTAAGGGTTATGGGCATGAATTGAGCCAATGCAGGAGGTCAACGGAAAAAACTTGGAAGCCAAAGGAAACAAATGTGCAGAAAGAAACACAACAAGTGAAAGAAAAAGATGGTGCAACAAAAGCAACAACCGTGGATGCTACAACCTCAGACACAGGTGTGCAGGAAGTAATATTCGTTCAGCAGGAGGAGAGGAATGAAAAGAAGGACTCTGAACAAGGGAAGGCTCAAATAACTCAGAGAGAGGGGAAACAACCAATGATACGGAAGGATTTGAAATTCACTGATGCAAAGGTAGTGGATAAGCAGAGAAAAGCAGCTAGGCAGGGTAGTCATGATGGTGCTAGTAGCCCTAATCCAGGGTCTACTATACATGTATAACCTGCTAAGTTGGAATGTAAGAGGGCTTAATAGCCCTCTAAAACACAGAGAGATAAGCAATAGTCTCTCTGTTAATAATGTGGGGATAGCTGGTCTTTTGGAAACCAAGTTGGTTGGGAGCAAAGTAGAAGAGCTTATGAATAATATTTGGTATAAATATGATTATGTAAGTAATCATATTTGTCAAGGGAAAGGACGGATACTATTGATATGGCTCAAGGATGAATATAAAATCAGTAATGTGAAGGTGGAGGAGCAATTTATACATTGCAGTTGTAAAGAGATGAAGACTGGGAAAAGGTTTGAATTAACAGTTGTTTATGCGGCTCATACTGCTCCGGGCAGAATTTCTCTCTGGAATGACATCACAGCACAAGCAGGTAGTGTAAATGGTCCTTGGATTATAGTAGGAGACTTTAACTGCATTTTGACACCAGACGAGAAACTGGGAGGGTCCGTAGCATTGAGTTCCGACTCAGGCAGTTTTCGAATGGTACTAGAGCAAAGTGAAATGGAAGAAATCAAGACTCATGGAAGCAAGTACACATGGAGCAATAAACAGTTTGGTAATAGCAGAATATTGGCAAAGCTGGATCGAATGCTAGTAAATGATCAGTGGCTAGCAATGTACCCGGAAGCAACAGCAAAGGTCTTAACTCCAGGAATCTCGGATCACCATGCCATACTGCTGGAATGGAGAGGTATGTCAAGACAGTCTAGAAAGGCTTTTAAGTATTTCAACATGTGGTCGACTCACCCGAAATTTCAGGAGGTGGTGAAAATATGTTGGACAACATCAAAGAAGGGATCAAAGCAGTACCTTTTGGTTCAAAAACAGAAACAAATGAAACACGGATTCAAGCAACTCAATCGAGAACACTACGGTAATATTGAGCAAAAGGAACATGAACAGAGGGAAGAATTAAGGATAATTCAGGAACAATTAATACTGGATCCGCAAAACACAGAGCTTCAAGAGAGGGAGAAAACTCAGATTCAGAACCTGTTGATCACCGGCAACGCAGTTTTAAGCTTCTGGAAACAACGATTAAAGGAACGATGGATACAAGAGGGGGATACAAATTCCAGATACTATCACAACTGCATCAGACAAAGGAGGAACCATAACAGGATACTCTCATTCACAAATCAAAATGGGGAGTTGATTGAAGATTGGAAACAGGTACAACAGCACTTCCTCATGTACTTTGAAAATTTACTTGGTGTAGAAATGCCTCGGGTTTCAGCTGGAAATGAAACTTTTAATATAGGGACAAAACTGTCTGTAAAACAGCAGACTACCCTAATTAAAGATTTCTCCCAGGCTGAAATCAGGAAGGCAATGTTTAGCATTAATATTGATAAATGTGCTGGACCAGATGGTTATAGTAGTGGTTTTTACCGGAGTGCCTGGGGGATAGTAAGGGATGATGTTTATGAAGCTGTGCTAGAATTTTTTCAATCAGGCAACCTGCTAAAACAAATTAATGCTACCATGATATATTTGATTCCAAAAAATCCCCAGCCTAGAGATGCTACTGAATTCCGGCCAATATCTTGTTGTAATACTATATATAAAGTTATATCAAAGGTTCTGAGCATGAGATTAAACCAAGTCCTGCCTGAGATTGTAGACCTCAACCAAGGTGCATTTGTTCAGAATAGATCCATTCTTCACAATGTGCTCCTAACACAAGAATTGGTCAGATTATATCGGAGGAAAAATGTAAAACCTAGTTGCCTCATGAAAGTTGATTTACGGAAGGCTTTTGATTCAGTTCATTGGGATTTTGTTGAAGAGATCCTCAATTTTTATGGCTTTCCTCCAAAATTTACTGCTCTGGTTATGGAATGTATCAGAACACCGTGGTTTTCTTTATGTTTAAATGGTGAAAGCACAGGTTTCTTCCAAGGGAAGCGTGGATTACGCCAAGGAGATCCACTCTCTCCCATGATCTTTGTCATGATTATGGAGTATCTAAACAGACTCTTCAAACAGGAAGCTGAGAAGGGTAAATTTCTGTACCACATGCACTGTGACAAGCTCAGGATAATCAGCTTAAGCTTTGCTGATGATCTGATTATCCTAAGCCAAGCAGAAGTATGCACCATCAGGCGAATTAAAACAGTGTTGAAGAAATTTGAGGAAACTACAGGGTTGTCAGTAAATATACAGAAATCAAGCTTATATTTTGGTGGTGTTAATGAAAAACTGCAATGTGAAATTCAGCAGGTGATGGGTTTCCGTATTGACAACTTCCCAATTCGATATCTTGGAGTTCCCATTTCTCCTACTGCATGGCATCAGCAGGATTGTCAGGTAGTTGTTGATAAAATCATAGCTAGAATAAAATGTTGGGCAACAAGGAGTTTATCCTATGCAGGCAGATTATTGTTGGTTAACTCAGTGCTCCTAAGCTTGCATTCTTACTGGACAGGGATATTCCTTCTTCCCAAAAGTGTTGTTAAGCAAATAGAGAGGCATTGCCGGGAGTTTCTCTGGGGGATAAAAGGAAATGGAGGAAGCAGATCATTGGTAGCCTGGGAAGCAGTGTGTAGAAGCAAAACATGTGGAGGGTTGCATATTAAAAACCCTGTAATCTGGAATGAAGCTATGATAGGGAAGCAGATATGGGATATAGAGAATCACAAAGAAAGCTTATGGATAAAATGGATTCATGTATACTACTTGAAAGGAACATCAATCTGGGAATATGATCCTCCTCATGACAGTGGATGGCATTGGAAAAAACTATTAGCTATTAAAGACAAGCTGAAACCTGGATACTTGAATGGCAACTGGGCAGGCACAGGAAATCAGTGTTATACAGCAAAAAAAGGTTATGAATGGTTGATGGGAGAACAGGCAAAATCTGTAAGTGCTAAGGTAGTGTGGAGCTCCTGCAACACCCCAAAGCACTGCTTTATTGCTTGGCTGGCTTTCAGAGACCGACTACTAACTCAAGATAGACTACAGAGAATGCAGCTGTTCCATGATGTGATGCAATGTGAACTATGTGGAATGCAGGTAGAAGATATTGATCACTTATTCTTTCAATGCTCCTACTCACAGCTGCTGCTACAGCTTGTCCTAACATGGCTGAGGATTAAACTGAGACTTAGAACACTGAGAAATAGCTTGGGGATTCTATTAAAGGTATGGAGACATAAAAAGATGCAGCAAAAAGTGTTGTTTTCTGCTATTACTGCTGTAATTTATAATATATGGGAAGAAAGAAACTTGAGGAAGTTTAGAGGTGGCAGGCAGGAAGTATTAGATAGAGCTGTAAAAATTAGGCAGGAAGTGTTTTGCAGCAAAGTAAGGAAGAAAGCAGAAATTGAGTTTTTAAATAGCATAGGTATCTCCTCAAACTGAAAGTTTTGTAATAGATGAAATAGGGCTGTAATTTTTGTGCAGTTTAGTGAAATCAATTTACCGAGTATTTACCAAAAAAAAAACATTCAAATGTCGTTCTGTCCTTTTTTAATCAGCAAAAAATTTCATTTGATCTCTTGGCTTTAGCAGCTGTTCCTTCAAAATTTTGTCTATCTCATGTCGCCTTTCCAGCATTTTTTGAGCCACCGAAATAATCACACTTTCACATTCACCAAGTGGAACATGCACTGGTTTCATTCCATAGAGAGCCTCATATGGGGACATATTAATGCTGCTGTCATGTGAAGTATTGTACCGCTATTTGGAGAGGGATAGCCATTGACTCCAACTAGAAGGCTTTTGATTTGCGAAACATCTCAAATACGCCTCTAAGCATGGGTTGACTCGTTCTGTTTGCCCATCACTTTGAGGGTGGTAGGAAGTACTTAAACAGAGCTGGACTTTTAATAACTTGAACAATTCCTGCCAGAAATGACTGGTGAAAAGTCGATCCCGATCACTAACTATGGATTCCGACAACCCATGCAGCTTGTACAACTCTTTCATGAACAGTTTAGCTACTTGTATTGCTGTGAAGGGATGGTTAAGGGCATAAAAATGGTTGTATTTCATCATTCTGTCAACCACCACCAATATGGCATCAAATCCTTGTTGTGATAAAGGTAACTTCTCTATAAAATCCATGCTAATATGCCTCCAAGCTTGTTGAGGTACTTCCAAAGGTTGTAGTAAACCCGGGTAATGAACATGTTCTGCCTTGTTGCATTGGAATACTTCACAAGTCCTGACAAATTCTTCTATATCGTTCTCCATATAAGGCAAAAAAAACAATGCTTTGATCCTTTGAAGGGTCACGGTTGTCTAGAATGACCTCCTAGGTGTGAGGAGTGCATGGTTTGCATAATTTGATGCTTGATGTTGTTGGAGCTTCCAATATAGATACGATCTTTCTTCTTCACTATTCCTTTTACCACTTCAAACTCCCCTTCGCCTTTTAATTCGGTGGCCAGTTCAGTAACAACTTTCTGAATTTTCTCATCACCTCATAGCTTTTCTCCACCTCATACATTCACTTAGGTTTAACTGTTGCGGCTGCATGGTTGCTGACTTCCTTTTCTTCTTCATTCTGCTCCTTGTTTTGTAACCTTGATAAAGCATCTACCACCTTATTTTCAGCTCCCTTTTTATATTGGATTTCATATTCCAATCCTAGGAGTTTCACCAACCATTTATGTTGCATTGTATTTGACAACTTCTGCTCAAGTAAAAACTTCAAGGCTTGATGATTGCTTTTAATCACAAAATGGTTTCCAACCACATAATGTTTCCATTTCGAAATAGCCATCACAATGGCTAGCAACTCCTTTTCATACACTGAGAGGGCCTAATTCTTTGTATTGAATGCTTTACTGAGAACGGCTATGGGGTTCCCTTCTTGCATCAAAACCGCACCCATTCCAAACTCACAAGCGTCTGTCTCAATAACAAATGGCTTCTTGAAGTCTGGCAGTGCTAATACAGGAGCTGAGATCAAAGCTTTCTTCAGTCTCTCAAAAGCTAAAGTAGTATTTTCATTCCATACAAAACCCTCCTTTCTCAGCAAAAGTGTCAGGGGTTTGGTGATGACTCCATAACCCTTAATAAACCTGCGGTAGTATCCTGACAAACCCAGGAGCCACACAATTCCTTCACAGAATTTGGGATTGGCCATTTTTGTATACTGTTCAACTTCTCTTTATCCATACTAACTCCTTCCCCTGAAATAACATGCCCCAAGTACTCAACCGTCTCCTTAGCAAAGACACATTTGGACATTTTCGCATAAAGCTGTTGATCTTTCACAATCTTTAAAACAGTTCCACATGCATATGTTTATCCCATGTTTTGCTGAAAATGAGAATATCGTCAAAGAAGACTAACAAACATTTCCTCGGCAATGAATGAAACACCCTATTCATAAGTGATTGAAAGGTAGCCGGCGCATTGGTAAGACTACTTGGCATCACTCTAAACTCGAAGTGCCCTTGATGAGTTTGGAATGTCATTTTAGGAATGTCACTAATCTTCATCCTGATCTGAAAATATCCGGATCTTAGGTCAAGCTTGGAGAAGAATTTGGCTCCAAATAACTCGTCAAGAATCTTTAACGATCATTTCATTTAGTCTTATACAGTCTACACAGAACCTCCACTCACTACCTATCTTCTTAACCAACAGCACCGGAGAAGAGTAAGGACTAACACTGTATTGAACCACTCCGTTTTTTAACATTTCAGCCACCCGCCTCTCAATTTTATCTTTTTGAGAATGAGGATATCGATACGGTTTCATCTTAAGAGGCTAAGCACCAATCTTCAATTCAATGCAATGTTCAATCTCCCTTTCAGGAGGTAATTCAGAAGGCATATTCAAATACTTGATCAAAATTTTATAATAGCTTCCTGAGATCATCAGACAGTGTTTCTTCAACCTTCTCTAGTTCTGGTTCTTTTTCCACTACGACTTCCTTGATGGTGTGGTGGCAATAAGATTGACAGTATTTTTCTCTTCGTTTAATCTCAATGAAATCTCTAAGATCATGACTGTGAACAGCAGCAATAGTAGGCTCTATAGTACCCTCATACAGCACATGAGTTTTCCCATCCCTAGTTAAACATATGCACTCTTTTTCGTAATCAAAAGCCATTGGACTGAAGGTTGATTGTAGTCATTCCTGCTTGAATAATGAGGTTTGTGACTGCGGTTGGGTGAAGTATAAGGCTTCTGCACAGTTTGAGTGACAGCTCTACTGTGCAATTTTCCTTTTTTGCTCTTGAAGTATTAAAGCATCCATCACTTTTTCCAACCCTGAAGGATTCATCATTCTGACCATGGTACTAATTTTCTCCTTTAATCCGCTGACATAGATTGAGACGAAGTACGATTCCGGCAGGTTGGGGTTGTTTCTGATCACCTTGGATTTCAATTCCTCAAATTTATCCATATAATCTAACACACTGCCTTCTTGGCGAAGTGATGAGAAGCGAATATACTCGCTATCTCATATGATTTCACGACGGTTGTACTTATTATGAACTCATTTCTTGTGGTTTACTTGTGTTAAAAGTGCACATTTATCAAAGTTTGCATTTGATTGATGTAGATTGACTAAATGGCATTAAAAGACTAGAAAATGGAGCAAAAGGCAACAAAATTTCAACAAGTTGGTCTAATTGAGCAAGCTTGATTTGAGGACTCGTAACTTGAGCGAGGAGTCTCCGTTTGGAATGATCAATACACGCTTGCGAAGCCCGAACAGAGGGAGACCAAAAATGCAGCTGAAGTTCATTCATCAGAACTGTACAAAAATTTACAGAAACTTCAGAAACATACGGCCAACTTCCAGAGGCCATAACTTGATGTCCAAAACTCGGATTTAGACGTTCTTTATAGCGTTTCGAAGCTCAAAGAGAGAGACAACTCTGTTATGAAGAACATTTCTCCAAATTCAGGCGTTTCAGTGGCCAAATTTACAGTTGAAAATCTGTGGTCAAAACTGATAAATAAAATCTGCAGACTTCAGTAGCTATCTCTCAATTTCCAGAGAGCATAACCTGACCTTCAGAGCTCGAATTTGGAAGTTCTTTATATGGTTGCGAAGCCAGAAGAACCAGCTACAAATTATATGCAGAAGTCAACTCCAAATTCCGGGTGTAAATGGACGAAACGGTGCAATGAAACTTGTCACTCAGGGCTGGAAATATTGGAATTCCAGCAAACACTTCTTTTGGGCAGCATGAACAGTCTTAATTTGGCCTGAAATTCAACCTGAAAAGCATGGAAATTAAAAATGACCGGGGCATAGAGGAGTCGATGGCAGCGATCTTATGGGAGAAATCAACTCAAATCGGCGGCGACGATGGGAGTTTCCCCGCGGATAGAGAAAAGTGCAGCAGCCGCGAGTCAGTCATTAATGGAGCCTGATTTGAGATTCATATCCAAGGGATTATGCAGGAAAATAGAATGAGGAAGTCGGTGCTTTTAGCGAGACGATCGAAGATGAAATCCGGCGGCTCCAGTGAACGGCTACGGGAATCCGGCGAAGTCGGCAGCTGGAGATTTCAACGAAGAAGAAGAAAAGAAACTTTTAATAATTTCAGAAAAGCCCCCGCATCCAAGAAGCCCTTGCAACTAGAGTCTTAAGTTCTTCAGCGTACTACATATTGCCCCCAAATGTTTCCGAGGTGGTGCCAATCAAGTCCAAAAGCCTATCAATTCACTACTTTCAAGGACGATCAATTAGGCCTAATACTTTCCAATATATACATTTTAGACCCAACATACCACTCCCCTATAAATACCACTTTGTACACGAATTTAAGGACTTTTATCTCATTTTTTCAACTTTCTAATATAAGTTAGCTTTGTTCTTCCTTTCTTAGTTTAGGATTTACATCTTTACTTCATTTTTAGTTAATTTTTACTTATAATTAGCTAAAGGGGAGAAAAAGAGAGGAAGGGGGGTTGCTAGTTCATTGGGAGAGACTTTCCATGGAAATGAAGACAAGGGGAAGGAGATAGGGAGGTCATCCTTTCAAGTCTTGAAGGCCTAACTCGTTTGTTTGGTTTGGTTTCTTTCTCCTTTATATGGCTAGTTAAACCCTTTTATGCAATTGTAATTGTGAACCCCTATGCATTGCTAATTTATTTTAGTAGTTACTTCCATTATTGTGTTAAGTTTTGATTGTTTATTTGTTGTTGAATACTTTGCTTGATTGTATTGGGAGGGAAGATTGATGAGTGAATTTTACTTGTGATTCTTTTGGTGGAAATTAAATGGTCTTTTGAATTCAATTTATGGTTTAGGCTATGAATTAGAATGGTAATCACTTGTGAGATTTCGAAACCGTTGGAGGAGGGTGAATTCATAGAAGATCGTGTACCGGACAATATTTAAGGTAGGCAATTACATTCACCGTGATGATGATAGCGGTAACTTGACTATTTGGTATTCAACGTGGAAACATGGGAGTAGTGAGTCCATACCGAATGAAAATAAGAATTGTTGAGCTACTTAGCGGGAGTTTACCCACAACGAATAACTTAGACTAGGTTAGTAACCAACTCCTAATAGGCGGGAGCTAAATTTATTTGGTTGAGCCAATTAGTTGAGTGGTGACATCTTGCCTTAGACTCTTTTAAGGAGACTTTTCTTGTTAACTAAATAATTTGAATGATCATAATCCATGGGGTGATCAAAAGCAATTCATAGGACCCTCAAGTATCTTGATTTCTCCCCTTACATGTTTCTTTATTTATGTTTACTTGTATTAAATTAGTTTAATTTATCACCATCATTTCATTTACCTTTTTGCTTATGAGAGTGTCTTAATAGTTTAAATCACTACTATCCTTGTGGGATCGACACTTACTTGCAAGACACAACAACGGGCTTTCGCTTGGGCCTTGAGTGCGTGCGAACGAGGTTTATTTTATTTGTTTGTTTGCATGTGACTAATTTCTATACGTTCAAATACGCACACAACACGAAGCTTATTGAACTCTTCGATATCATCCTTCTTTCCTCTTAATTCAAACTGTCGTATGAAAGCTTCCCTAAACTCCGGCCAGGCCACCCTTCTTCCTCCCGAATTAAATCCGTCATACCAGGTTTCAGCTTTCCCTTCCAAGTATATCTCAACCGTTTCCACCTTAGACTCCTCCTGGATGTGGTGAAGTGTAAAGAACTTTTGGCATTTACGAATCCATTCTCTGGGATTCTCTCCGGTAAAGGGAGTGAGTTCCACGCGCGGCTGAGGAACTAACAGAGCCCTGTTCAGTGTATCCTTTGCCTGAGTTTCATCATAGATGATAACCCTTGGAGAAATAGGAGGATTGTTCACGAGCGGCGTATTTCTAGCAGAAAAATTGGAGCTTTCTTCTTTGAATGGCTCCTTCCCTTTTACAGCCGTCTGTATCGTATGAAGCATGCCAGTAATCTGATTCAACTATTCCTGCATCATCATCTAACTTTGCTGGATCAGAATTATGTTCTTTTCAAGCTCCATTGTTCTTCCGTCCATCTTCTTCATCTGTTCATCCACCACATTTGAAGCTTTAGAGCGTGTGCTTTCTGCCATTGAATCCGATAGAATCGCCGGCTCTGAGATACCATATCTCACGATAAGGGTGTTTCCACCAGAATTAGATTTCAGAAAATAGAGGATTAAGGATAGAAGAGGCAGAATAAGATGAATCAAGCAAATTTTTTAGAGAGATAATTTAGGAAAGGGAAACCTGAGATTTTCATTGATAATTCTGAATGACAGCCAAGATTCCTTTTACAACGTTAATTTAGCTCACGGACAAAATTTGCAACTTCCAGGAAACTATATCTGGACAAAGGCAATTTCCACAAAGCTCCTTAAATATATAAATAAAATACTAAATAAATTAGCTGAGGTTTGATTTTGCATTGATAGAGTTAAAAGCCAAAACGTCGACGTTCTTCGATGACAAGACTTAATTCCCTAAAATTCAAATTCCTACTCCAATAATTCATATACGTGACAGGCTGTCATGAGTCGGGGACTTTATCGACTCAATTTTAAACTAGAGGGGTCAATTTGTAATTTTGTAAGTTGAGAGACTATAAATAGTCCTTACGGTGTGAAAATAGGATTATCGAATAAAAATGTATTGAGTCAAAATTTGTGTTTTCCCTTTGGGGTGTTCTTCGGAACCCTAACTTCCTTCTCGATTTCTTCTGTAATTCTCATTAATCCTTCCGTTTTGATCGGTAATTCGTCGGACCATTACATTTGGTATCCCAGGGCTGTCAATTCTTGGCAGTCGCGGTTCCAAATTTTTATTTCTTTCGTTTAATTTCATTCTCTGATTATTCTTCGAACTCGACTTCTCCAAATGGATGTAGTTCTTCTCACTTTCTTCGGATTCATTCTTCCGTGGATTCATTTTTTATCCTTCTTCTTCCTCCATCTTCGTCAAAATTTCATCGACTTCACCTTTACGAAATCAATCTGCCTCTACTCTTTCTTGAATTCAACTCATCCGATTCGATTTCTTCGTAGTCGGTTCTGTTTGTCATTTTCTTGATTTTTCTGTTGCGTTTTTCTTAATCGATGGAATTTATCGATTTCGATGTATCTAGGGTAAATGCCATGTTATCTCTCCCGGCATCAGATGTTTTTCCCCCAAATCCGGTCCCCTTTGGATTACTGGAACCCTCACCGTCCGAAATTCCTCTTTTCTCCGGAGAAGTTTACAGTTTCTGGCTGACCCGAATTGAAGAATTTTTTTCCCCTAATTTGACACCACAAGAAAGTACGATATTCTTTGCATCTTTCTATATGATTGGTGACGTTCTTCAATTCTTGTATGGACTGGAAGTCGTATCCCAGTTATACAATTGGGAAATACTGATGGAGCAGCTAGAGCTTCGATTTGGATAGTTCATCGGGCAAACCGTGGTGATCAACTATTGGGAGGACTGTGAATCTTTCTTGGATTAAGGTAAGTTCCTTTCTCTGGCTGTGAATCTAACCGAAACATTGGGTCTTGATGATGTGTTTTCGAAATTGGATGTTGATTCTTTAAATTCGGGTAACATGGACTGTGAAATTGAGCATGTTGGTGAATTTGCAATCCTGTGATATTGAAACTCTATTTTAGCATTTATAAGCATACTCTGTGAATTTAAAGGGGGTGTATAAACAGTCTGGGGAAATTGATGTTGCGAATGAGATTGGTGAGTGCACGTATAATCTTGGTTTGCTATTTGATCCTGATGTTGGTTCAGAATCGTTTGTGAGTTCTTCCTCGAATGCAAATGATTGTTGCTTGGTTACATTTGATCCGGGTGGATTAGTGTGTATAAACAGCATTATAGCATCAGGGTATTTTGCAAAGTGTTGGGATTTTGTCAGGCACTAAGTCATTATGAGTATGAACTGGACTTAGACGACTAGTTTGTACGTGAACTCAAACCCTTTGCTTAAATGATGAATATGGATCAACCGTGGGGATTAATGGGATCTTGTTTCAGAGGCGGCACAATTATTCCTGAAAGTTGTGATGACAAGGAACATGTTTTGTCGAAAGTTTTAGACACTAGCCCTGTGAATTCTGTTGACACGTTTCCCCCAATGCAAAAGGGTTTGAAAGCAACTGAACAACTTGGGGTTGATCAAGGTGCTGAAAGGGATAGGGTGTTTAGACCTTCGAAAGAAGTTGTAACTGGTTTTAGGGGAGGAACCAGATTGTTATAAATAGGGATTTGGAAGAGTATGATATTACTGAAAGAATCAAAGTTCATTTGGAAGGTTGCTTCGTTGGGACTACTAACGGTTGGGGCTCCGGAGAAGAATCATCAATGAAGTTGTTTCAACTCTCCAGAGGGGTTCTTCAAGTCTTTAATTCCTTTGTTTTATTTTTTGTTGTCTGGCGTGTCCTTGTCTAAGTTGTTGTTTGTTCTGTAATAAGGCATTGTTTCCATTTCCTTTTATGTAGTATTATTAGACTTGTTTTTTTTCCTTTTTTATGACTTTTTTTTTTTCCTTTTGTTATGACTTGTAATATTTTGTTATGACTTGTATTAATATTCTTAAACAATGATTTCACCTGCATCGTTGCTACTAATATTTATCAAACACACCTTCGCCGATCAAATCTAAAAACAAAAATTTTATTTTATTTCAAACTATATTTTATTTATTTAATAATTAATTGTTGCTTCATCTTTTTTTTTTAAACAAACAGCAAAGTATTTAGTTTATCCAAACAAAAGATGTAATTCTTAGCTCTTACATACGAACCGTCTATTAAAATTACCACATCCACAAAAGGATTGTACCAAATACCTAAAACAAACATTCAGTAAACTAAAGTTCTCTCCAAAATTAAGATGCGGTGCATTAAACAATCGCATTGGTAGCACTTGCAATCCTAGGCCAAAGATCATCACACTCCTTTCCAATGGGACCACTGATTGCAGAACCTTTCATTTTTCCCTTGGGATTAATAATCACTCCAGCATTATCTTCAAAGTACATGTAGACACCGTCCTTTCGGCGGCATGGCTTGCGCTGGCGGACAATGACTGCGGGCATGACCTTCTTCCAGAGATCGGGCTTACCCTTCTTGACGGTGGCCATAACCATGTCATCGACGCAAGCAGAAGGGAGACGGTTGAGCCTACCCTTCATTCCCTTCACTGAAATGATGTAGAGGTTCTTTACCCCGGTTTTGTTGGTGCAATTCACCGTCGCAGCCACTGGAAGACCCAGAGATATCCTGAACTTGTTACCCAACGCTCCTCCGCGTCCTTGCTTCGACAATTTTGCTGTCTCCCCTGTGAGGTTTCCGAAGAAGAGAAAATAGTTGCTTCATTTTAAACGTTGGTAAATTATAATAAATATTTCTTAAAATTTATTCATATTTGAAGCTTTTTTCTTGTATTGAAATCGTCATAATTAATATAAAAGATTTGTAAATTAAATTAGATCTAATTAATATAATTCCATAAAATTACGTCATTTATCATTATTGAAAAGTTTTCATATAAAATTATTTTATAAAATAATGATTAAATTTTTAATATAATTTTTTAAAAATTTATTATAATTTTCTAATATAATCATTATTAAAATTTTAATATAATTTCTTGCAAATTTAATTTAGTATAGCTCTATTTAATTTAATGAGTATCAATTATAATATTATATTCTTATTCAAAATTTAATTTTTCTCTTTATAGCTCTATTCAAAATTTAATGATTATCAATTATAATTTTAAAATTTTACTTTAATTTCATTATTAAAATTTAATAATTTTTTGAAGTAAATTTCCCTAGAAATTTTTAAACTAGGCAAATTAATCAAATTTTTATGACTATTTCCTTTTTCATTTAAATAAAATATTTTATATGACTACTGATAAATTAATTGAAAGAATGGCTTATCTTTCTTGAAATTTCCCTTCTTTTCTCTTTTCTTCATAAATTTTTCTTCATTTTATTTGAAATTTTTGTTCCTTCTCTTGATCAGATATCCAGAATAGAGGAGTTTTTGATGATAAAGGTGGATTTATATTTCTTATTATTGTATATCTGTTTTTTTATCTTATGGTTACAAATGTTTTTTTATCATTATGCTTGACTAACTAATAATTTCAGTAGGCTAGACTGTAGTCGGATAAAAAAAAATTTTGTCACTTTCTTCTTAAAATAAGATCACAACTTGTGTAATTTTCTTCTATGTTGTCTTTTTTCTGTAACCATCGAATTTTTTTTACGCATTGTTTTGTACAATCATACAAACACCTAAACTTGGAAAAATTACTTATAGATATCTCAAAAAATTTTAGAAGAACAAAATAGATCTAGGGTTTCAATTGTTGCCAAAACTGATTCTTTCGCGCTTCAAACAAGCGAAAATTAGCAAAATCGCGTTTTCAAAATGCTAAAAAAAATATTTTAACGTTTTGAAAATGCTAAAAAAATATTTTCGCATTTCAGAAACACTAAAAATTAGATATCCTAATTAATATAACTTAATCGTAATTAATTAATGTTAAAAAATTGATTAAAGAAAGATTCGTGTTTTCAAAGCGCGAAAAAAAATAAAAAAGAATATTTTATTTAAATAAAAAAAAGGAAATAGTCATAAAAATTTGATTAATTTGCCTAGTTTGAAAATTTGTAGGGAAATTTACTTCAAAAAATTATTATATTTTAATAATAAAATTAAAGGAAAATTTTAAAAGTATAATTGATAATCATTAAATTTTGAATAGAGCTATAAAGAGGAAAATTATATTGATAATTTTAATAATAAGAAACTTAAATTGTGAATAAGAATATAATATTATAATTGATACTCATTAAATTAAATAGAGCTATACTAAATATAAATTATTGAAAGTATGAAATAATTTCTAATTTATTAAATTTTAAAAAAATATATTAAAAATTTAATAATGATTATATTAAAAAATTATATTAAATTTTAAAAAATTATATTAAAAATTTAAAAAATTATATTAAAAATTTAATCATTATTTTATAAAATAATTTTATATGAAAACTTTTCAATAATGATAAATGACGTAATTTCATGGACTTATATTAATGAGATGCAATTTAATTTACAAATTGTTTATATTAATTATGACTGTTTCAATATAAGAAAAAAGCATAAAATATGAATAAATTTTAAGAAATATTTATTATAATTTACCAACGCTTAAGATGAAGCAACTATTTTCTCTTCTTTGGAAACCTCACAGGGGAGACAGCAAAAATGTCGAAGCGAGGACGCGGAGGATCGACAGGTAACAAGTTCAGGATGTCTCTGGGTCTTCCAGTGGCTGCAACGATGAATGGCGCTGACAACACCAGGGTAAAGAACTTCTACATCATTTCAGTGAAGGGAATGAAGGGTAGGCTCAACCGTCTCCCTTCTGCTTGCATCAGTGACATGGTGTGGTCACCGTCAAGAAGGGTAAGCCCGATCTCAGGAAGAAGGTCATGCCCGCAGTCATTGTTCGCCAGCGCAAGCCATGGCGCCGAAAGGACGGTGTCTACATGTATTTTGAAGATAATACTGGAGTGATTGTTAATCCCAAGGGAAGAATAAAAGGTTCTGCGATCAGTGGTCCTATTGGAAAGGAGTATGATGATCTTTAGCCTAGGATTGCAAGTGCTGCCAATGCGATTGTTTAATGTACCGCATCTTAATTTTGAAAAGAACTTTAGTTTACTGAATGTTTGTTTTAGGTATCTGGTATTATCCTTTTGTGGATGTGGTAATTTTAATAGACCGTTGGTATGTAAGAGCTAAGAATTACATCTTTTGTTTGGATAAACTAAATACTTTGCTGTTTGTTTAACAAAAAAAAAAGATGAAGCAACTTTTAATTATTAAAAAAATAAAATATAGTTTGAAATAAAATAAAATTTTTGTTTTTAGATTTGATCGGCGAAGGTGTGTTTGATAAATATTAATAAAGTAGCAACGATGCAGGTGAAATCATTGTTTAAGAATATTAATACAAGTCATAACAAAATACTACAAGTCATAAGAAAAGGAGAAAAAAAAACAAGTCAGAACAAAAGGGAAAAAAGAACAAGTCATAACAAAAGAAAAAAAAATACAAGTCTAATAATACTACATAAAAAGTCTAGTACCCTATTTCTTCTTCGACTTTTTAGCATGAAAATGACTGTAAGTCAATCTATCGGGCTCTTTATCACTCTCTGGCCTTTACTCACAGCCAACGGTGGAGTCCCTAGAGTCTGACTCGATCCCTGCTCCTCATGGCGCTGATAACCCCGACCCTCAAACTGATCCTGCTGGTCTGCATCCTCAGCCTCATCCTCATCCTCATCTTCATCCTGACTCTCACGCTCACCTCCAGATGGGTCATCAGCCTGATGCTGACCCGCAACACCCTCGAACATACTCGTAAGAAAGTTACTCGTGTAATGTATTGACTGGCCATCTAGAGAACTTTACTGGAACCTAGAAAAGTCAATAAAAGAATCTCCAAACTGAGGCTGAGAAGTCAGAGGGGAGGAAAACTGAGTGAAGGCAAAATGGGACTGTTGGTGCTGGGGAGACATAATGGGACGGTAAAACGCATGTTGGGTCGGCGAAGAATGATGTGGAGACTAATGGGATGAATGATGTGGAGACTGATGGGATGAATGCTGTAGAGAATGGTGTGGAGACTGATGTGGAGACTGACGGGATGAACCGTTAGTGAAGGAGATATGAGACTACTGATGCTGGGAGGACTGATGTGGCTGAGTGGGCGTGATTGTCTCTTGCCCTCCACGCCCACGCTGAGACCTGCACGAACGCCTCGGAGGTCTAGGAGGTGGATATTGTTGGGTCGGGTCTACAGGACCAAGTTCTTGACTCAAAATTCATTAACCTCAACTTGCCTCTCGAGATCGTGACGTACAACATTTGTTGCATTGACGGATAATGCCTGCTCAACAATCTAGGCAATCTCGCCTAAGCGATCATAACCAAAGGAATCCTTGTCGAAAGTACGCTGGCCTATAATACTAAGACTACGAACGTCCTCCATCAAAGTGGCCTGAAATTTTTGTTAGAAAGAATCGTAAATCGATAACAATGAAAATAAATTACATAAAGTACTGTAGGCGAAAGAAATTGTACGAAAGACTCACCATGAGACGCAAGGTCTCTGCAGAGCCATGAAAACCCCTCGTGTTTTCAGAGTCCGCCGGATCCGTAACATACTTTATAGTAACCTGATGGTACCACAAGAGATACTCCGGATCTGCTCTAAGCTCGCCAACATAATCATCATCAGTCCCGACAAGTCTGCCGTGGTGATCATTCCAAACCTGGAGATATATGCCTAGTTGTTGTATCCATCTCCTATCGGATCCTCTAAACGGCTTCCTCTTAAGCAGGCTAGTAATTTCCTCTTTGGTCAGAAGTAATGCGTGGCCGGGTATCCGCTGGTGATAAGCAAATTAGCGAAATACCCTACTGGGGTTCTGTGGCGCAACGACATCACCGCATATGAGCCATGTCTGAGATCGCCAGATGCCCTGTCCCTCAAGACAAACCCTGGCAATACGACCCAGAAGAGTCGTGTACGGCATCCATACAAACTACAGTGGCAATACAGTAAGAGATAGCAAATTAAAAGTCCGGCACCATTAAAAAAAATTAATAAAGAATATGTTACAGTAATTGAAATGAATACTAACATCTGACTCTGCGAGAACTGCAAGCTGATCCCGGTAGGCGGCCAAATTGAACCGCGTGATACCTTGAACTTCTTTCTCACGGGACCACCTGCACGGAAAAACTAACATTAAATTGAGACATGACAGCACTCATCACAATGTCAAAATTTTCGGAGGTTTGATGTGTAAGATTACCTCGTGCCCATGGGCAATGAGAAAGATTGAGCTTCCCACCCGGTATCTTTGGCTGAACCGTCAAAATCCGCTCTCAGGCCCAGAGCTGATTCAGAATTTATGGATCATTAGCTAATATCACAAATAATTATGGGAGAATATAAAATGAAAAGAGAGGAAAATAAAAAGATAAGATACCTGAAGAAGAATCACACAGCCGGTAATAGCCTTTGCGGAAGCGGCCAGAGATGACTTAGACATGCTGTGGTACAAGTAACATAGTGCCGCGCTACCCCAACTGTACTCCGAGCATATCTCGGGAGTATGCAGAAAATGCACAAGATCGAGTGGAAAACTGTTTCTTGTCGTGTTAGAGAACAGTAATCCGCAAACTAGCCATCCAACAAAACAACGGGCTCGCTCTAAGTGTGCCTCGTGGGGGGACTAGTCTGTCAAAGGATTGTTCTCTATGTGAGTCTTTATTTCAGTGATGGAAACGCTAGTCAATTTGGACTCTTCTGTCTGGAACCTGAATCCAAACATCCTCTCCAAATAGGCAACCCAACCACCTTCAGGCATGGTATGATCTCCTGTAACCGGAAGTCCATCAACCCGAAGCCCCAAAAGAACCTCAACGTCCTGCAGTGTGATAGTAGCCTCCCCAAAAGGTAAATGAAAAGTATGGGTCTCAGGGCGCCACCGCTCCACAAGAGCTGTAAGCAGGGCATGGTCACATCTTATAGACCCAATTCTAGAAAACGGTCCAAAACCAAATTTCTCAATGTGTTCCTTTGTCATCGTCGGTGCATCTTTTATATATTTCCACACTGCGCTATCTACGCGCCTGGGCTCCGAAATTCCTATATCATACTGTGCACCATGGAATATATTATATGACCAGTGGGCGTTTTGGAGGAACAACAAACTATTGTCTCTAGGTCCCTGCTGTAGCTTTTTTGAGGTAGATTGGGAGGAAGAAGATGATCCAATCTCCATGGCTATAACAATTTATAAACAATTTTAGTAAGTACGGATTAATATTTATCAATGTTTATTATCCTAAAATTTAATTTAATTATCTATATATATTAAAAAATTTGACCCTAAATTTTAGTAAGTACGGATTAATATTTATCAATATTTATTATCCTATTTTTTAATATAATTATCTATATATTAAAAAATCGACCCTAAATTTTAGTTAGTACGGATTAATATTTATCAATATGTAGTATCCTATTTTTTAATATAGTTATCTATATATATTAAAAAATCCGACCCTAAATTTTAGTTAGTACGGATTAATATTTATCAATATTTATTATCCTATTTTTTAATATAATTATCTATATATATTAAAAAAATCTGATCCTAAATTTTAGTAACTACGGATTAATATTTATCAATATTTATTATTCTATTTTTTAATATAATTATCTATATATATTAAAAAATTCGACCATAAATTTAAATTTAATGGCTTAATTTTATTATCCCTAAATTTTATTTTAAAAAAATCCAACCCAATACCCAACCTTATAAACCCAACCCTCTAAACCCACCCCTCTAAACCCAACCTAATACCCAACCTTATAAACCCAACCCTCTAAACCCACCCCTCTATACCCAATACCCAACCCTCTAAACCCAACCCAATATCCAACCTATAAACCCAATCCTCTAAACCTAAACCCTAAACCCACCTCTCAAAACTCAAACCCACTTCTAAACCCAACCCAACCCCGAAACCCAAAACCCCACAACCCTAAGCCCACCCCGCCGGCTACCCCCTTCTAACCCCCGTCAAGTCCCCCGCCTGCAAGTCCCCCGACTCCCCCGCCGGCAACCTCCGTCATAACCCACAACCCCGAATCTAAAAAAAATCCACAACTACACCACCTATAATACTAGATCTATTAACGGAGTTTTAAATCGCGAATTAAAATAAAAAAAAATCAACACAAATACGCTAGAATTCGTAATTTAAAAGCATGAATTTAAAAAAAAAACAATTAAATGAGAGCAAAATAACAACTTACCTCGATATATAGCCTAGAAAATGCAAAAAATTGAAGCCGAAACTCACTTCCGGCAACGAGCAATGTTGTTTCGCCGGTTTCTATGGATTCCGACAGCCACCGGAAAAGAAAGAAACCAAGGAAGCGAAACGCGAAAACTTTGATTTAACCCACCAAGAATTCGCGTTTCAAAAATGCGAAAACTTTTTAAGTACCACAAATTTGCGTTTTTGAAACGCGAATTCTATGTAACCCAGAAACATTTCGCGTTTTAGAAACGTAAAATGTATTTAAACCGACCAAAATTTCGCATTTCTAAAACGCGAATAATTTGACTCACTAGAATTTGGACTCCTGGCTGAATCTGGTGAGTCATGTACAATATAACATTTCTAAAACGTGATTCAAATGTTCCCGTTCTCCTTAAACTTTTTAATCGCATTTTAAAATTCCAGTTTTCGCTGTTTTAGCATTCTATTGATAAACGCAAAATTAAATTGTAATACATTACGTTACTATTAATTTATCATACAAACACAAACCGAATAAACAAATCACTAATTTTAGAGTTTATCACACAAACATCCAAACCAACACTAATACAAATACAAACGCAAACAGAATCATCCTCTGAGATTTATTATAGGAATGTTCAAAACAATACACCAACACAAACACTAACAGAATCATCACTACGCATCATCAGAATCATCAGAATTGATCTTAGGCACACCACGAATTCCATATGGATCGTAAAGTTTATCAATAGCGGTCCTGTCAGCAAGTGGATGAGAAAATGGGCATTCCACAGCATCATGATCTAAACTTCCACATCGTGCGCAAACTGTCGCATATGGGCATACCCTGGCATTATGGCCCTGTAGTTTACATAAACTGCAAGTTTGGAGTCTTTGCTGGCCAGATTTGCTTGTATAATCCATCACACCTTTTTTTCGATTTACACGCTTCCGACCCCGCCTAGCATGGTGGACAAGTTTAGTGTCATTTAGCCTGATCTGCCACGTTGCCTTTGGCCATGGTTCCATGATTGGGTTAAATTCTCCAGAAAACTGATGGTACCATCGCTGCGTTGTGTAACATGGATCAAAAAGTGGGAATGGCTCGTCACCTAGCTCACGAGCAACTCAAAGTGCATGGGAACAAGGAAATCTGGTAGTCTGCCACCCCCTGCAAGTGCACTCTCGAGTTGCATAGAGCACAACTTGCTTGCAGATGTCTAGTAGCAGACAAGAACAAATGATATCAAATACAGAAGCACCAGCAGTAAACCTGGTAGAAAATGATGATACGGTATTACTGAATTCGTATTGTTTCTTGATAGTATATTTATGCACACACACACACACACATCTTTTCAATGATTTATATATTCTGTTGTAATAGGGTTATTCAAGGGTCTTGGGGCTGAATCATGGTTCAAGCGTGCAAGCTGTAAGATTTCCAAATGTGTCACAGGTTAATCTTTAAGCATATTCTCTTATTTATAATTTTTTTTGTGATAAAAGAGCTGTGAAATTGAATTTGCTTTCGGCCTAATACATCTTCATTCTTTCTTCTTTTTTTTTTATAGTCGGGAGAGCAGCTAGAGGCAATTTCTTTCCAAGATTTATTATCACAAGCAATGTCATTTCAAGGTTCATCTCAATGGAAGTAATCATACTTCTTACAAAAATAATTTGTAGTCGAATTTGTTATCAAATTTGTACTCGTGCGTCTTTTTAATCTCACTTTACTTATCGGTAGCTAATAAAGGATGGTGTTTTCTTTCTACTCGCTAGTGATGTTTTATGACACACAATACTTCATTTGAAGAAGTAAAATCGATCTAGTGCAAAAGGTGCTTCTTTTTTAGCATCATACCTGTTGGTTTGATACTCTCCCATGCAATAGAATGTTTTCTTACATTGAAGAGAAAATAAATAACACAAAGGGCACAAACAATTTACTTTGATAGGAGACAGCAGGAACACCTCTTTCTTAGCATCAATATCACCATACTTTTTTGAATGTACATATACATTGAACACAAGTTCCATTTCTCTAAGTGTTACATTAAAGTCCCATAAACTAGCTTACACAAGTGTTATTGTCAAAATTTCGAAGGCCTCACATGAGCAACATAACAAAGAAGCTGCTCAGTTAACTGCATTGTGGACAACATATGCAAGGCGCTATCCTCAATGTTGAAGTTGCTGTCAAAATTTCGAAGGCCTCACATAATTGCATTGTAGCTGCTGCAGTAGTTTGGCTTTTTAGTTGGTAGCACAGACTGTAACAGTGATTGATCCCACCATGACACTTTCTTATACTGAAAGAGCACAAATACTTGATTAAACTCCGGTACACTTTAAACATACCATCAAGAACAGAGAATTGTGGATGCTCCATAGTGATTTAGAGCTTGCAGAAAGCATCAAGCTGCCAAGCGGTGAACTATGGCATCAGCACCTAGTCCAAGACATGCATTAACCTTTAGACTCAAGCATCTTGTTGAACTTACCAAAAATTTAATGGCACCTAGCTCTGAAGGGAAGCGGCTGAAAACCCAAAATACTCATAAATTTACACAGACAAATAAGGCTAAACACTAATAAATCCAAAGAAAACTTGTCCGTTGTAAGGATAAACTCATAAGCATCAAACAAAGCAGACTGATCCGAACAAAATTGAAGACCACTGTAGACCCTAGAACCAATATATTGTGTAAACATCTAATCCTAATCGAAATGAAAACAATACTTGAGCCAAGATATGTCCGATGCAAATTGAAAACCTACTCGTTTATAATGATAACGTATAAGAAAAACAGACATAATGATATGCTACCATAGTTGCTGTAGGTAATGTGGAAAAGCCAAACAATATTACTGTACATATTGATCTTGATGGATGTCAACGCAATGGTGTTTCTATTCTATCATTAGGCAATACAAATTGGCTCTAAAAAACTGAAATGCGCATAAAAATTGCATAAGAAAAACCGAAATGAGCATAAAAATTGTACAAGACAGTTCTCAGAAAATCTTATGAAAAGGAATTTACAAGAGTCAAAAAATCAACTTCAGAAGAAAAAAAAATCCTGAGAATTGGGCATCTCCTCGAATTACCTATACCCACCGATCCGGATTCGTACCGTCCCAAGATTGCTATCCCACAACTCCGGACGAATCTTAGAATTTTGGATGTCCTGGGCGTATGCTTTGGGATTCCTCAGAATATTATTTGTCCTGGCAATACTCCGAAGTCGCAGAAATAATTGGCTCCATGACAAATCCTCCATGACCCCTTTCTTGTTTCACCGAATTGCCTCCTGAACCCCCATTGCCTCTTTGATGCTTCGGCAACCGCATCATGGGCGAAGCTCAGCTTTTGGATTGTGAGGATTTGTTGATAATTTTTGTGAGGGCATAGAGACGGTCACCTTGAGAGAGATAAAATTCAATTCTCCGGCAAAGAAATTTTACAGTGATGAATATTGGGTGTATTTTACAGGAATTTTTTTCCTTAAATATATATGAAAAAAAAAAACCTGGACAAAAATAAAGTTTTTTAAAATCTTGTGGACAAATTTATATGCCCCGGATTTAAATCCGAATGGGGGTAAAACTCGGATTTCGGAAATCCGACCCCAAATCAACTCGGATTATTAAAATCCGACTTTGTGTTACGTAAATCCGATATTAAGTTAATGACAAAAATTAGTGTAATTAAATTAAATCCGAATTTTATAAATCCATTTTTATGAATAAAATATTAATTTTCGGATAGAGAAAAAATAATGTGTTGAAAAATTAAATTTGGGCAGAGCTCGGATTACCGAAATCCGAATCTGCTCTGTTTTCTGAAAAATGGTGACTCCCAGTTGGCCACGGACTCGGATTTCCGAAATCCGAATCCTTTACAAAAAGTCTGAGTTCGGATTTCGCAAATCCGAGTCTTTGTCAGAATTGAAAAAAAAATTGGACTGATTTTCACCAGTCCTAAACATGTTTACAACACCAACAATGAAACATTGGAAAACAGGAATTTAATAACAACAAAACAATAAACGGCATTCGATTAACAACAAAATAAATCAAGTTTCATAAAAAGTTCAATACAAAAACTACTATATTGTGCGCATCCGGAGTGTATTTGTTTGGACCCTGTCGGATCCTGTCTCCCCTCTTAAGATACGTGAGTATTGAACTTTGGTGTGGTTGCGACTGTCCACCAAACTGAGCCTCGATTTGGGGTTGAGATTGGGACTCCCCCATGGTGATAAATTTGACTCCCGGTTGTGGTTGCGACTGCCCACCAAACTGAGTCTCAGGTCCACCAATGTCAAACTAAGTCTCGGGTCCACCAGCTTCTTCAAAATGAGTCTCGACCTGGATGCGCGAGCCTCGAGAGGAATGTGCTTGATCCTCATTTTGTTGACCCTCAGTTTGTTGTTGCGATGTCCGAGGGGGGATTGTGACCTTTCTCTTTCTTCCTCCTCCAATCTTATCTCTTGACCACGGTTTCGCTTTTTTACCCGGCGGAGGTTGTGAGGGCAAAAATGGATCTTCATCAACCAGGATTTGGGTATCATCCACCTCCATCTCATCATTTGCGCCCAAGGTTAAAGCAGCATGTGTTTGATTGATGATATCGTCCAAATGCTTGTCAAGTTCTTCGTCTAGGAGATTATCATCTTCTCGTTTTTCTCTAAACCTCTCGGTACTCACGCGAATGTTGTTCAATACTTCACCCTGAAAAGAAATTGGGACGTTAATTAAGAGAGTAAAGTTCTAAAAAAAAATGAAAACATAAGAAATAATAAAAGAAATCTACAATTAACTCACATATAATTTCACGCGGCTCGAAGAAGTCTTGTATCCTTGAGGTTCATAATTACCGGGATTGGATATCAATCTGACAGTGTTCACCATGAACCATTCATAGTACCCCTCATATACGGAACCAGGATCTCCTTCCTCCAAATCTCATAGCACGAACTCTTCTCTCCTATTCCAATGACGGCGTACTGCGGAATGGTGATCCTCCCAATTATTGCTAGGATACCCAGACATACTGTGGGCGTGATCGAGAAGGAATGTTGCGTTATCTTTAATCATGGGGCGCTTGGGAACATCCTGTATGTATCCAAATTGTCTTATGACTCTGCCCGACTCGTGGGGTTCCCTAATAGCCCAACAGAACATCCAACACCTAGTCGTCCAAATGGCTTGGCCTTGTGTACAGAAATCAGGGAGTCTATGGAGGACATGTGCATATGGTTGCCACCGAAACTGCACGAAAAAAATTTCATTAGATGGTACAACCGAAACCAAAAGAAAGGGGTAATTGATCTCAAAGTAAATATAAATACCAAATTACAAGTACTTACATCTTCAACACGCAGACTTGTTAATTGATCTCTAAAAGGTGGAGTGCTGCTCCTTGGGGCATCGCCGTACGTGTACCTACATTCCCACCTTAATAAACAACGCAATGCATTTGAATTAGTGAAATTAAATGAATAAGAAACAAATAGAATTAAACATTGAGTTATTTTGAACTGAAAATACGTACCGCTGAGCTAATGGAGCGGTCTCATCAAGCAAATAATCTACTCCTTTTCTTTGGGGCGCGATCCTCTCGATCCGCTCATACGCCCATACCTAGTAAATTGCAATAATAATGTAAAAACTTCAAATTATAACGTCGAAAGCGCAAAATAATTAAAGCACAAAATGAAAACTAATACGTACCTGTAGCAAATATAGACACCCAGTGGTGTCGTGCATGGTATACTGTGATGCCTCGCATAGGCCAGAGTACAACCCAGCCAGCAGTGCCGATCCCCAACTGTATCGACTACACTGATCCAAATCCTCAACCTGGGCCAAGAACTGTAGATTGACAGTGTTCTGCGTCTTGTTCGGAAACATGAAACTGCTAATAAAATGCAGTATAAGTGTCCTGGCCCTTTGCTCGAATCGATGGACAGTGGAATTTTCAGGTAGTGCACGGCCCATCTCATCTTCGAAAATACCAACATTGACACATTGGCCATTTACAGTCGCTGGCCGGAATCCCAAATAAGCCTCACATCGATCCCTCCATTCATCTGCAGTCCGGCTAACTGTCGTGCCGTACACCGGGTCACCATCCACCCGAATACCAAACAGGACCTCGACGTCCTGTAGCGTCACCGTCGCCTCTCCGAAATTAAAATGGAAAGTGTGGGTTTCTGGCCTCCACCGTTCCACCAACGCGGTAATGAGGCCTAGATCAACTCTTTTGTACCCTACCTTCATGATCCCCTCAAAATCGGCTCTCCTAATGACTTCCTTAACCTCCGGTGCCGTATTTTTATATAACGCCCAAAAATCACTGTCGTACCTACGGCCCTTGAGGCGGAATGTTTTAATGTCCGGTATCCTGTTCTCATAGACAGCTTGGGACCTATGCTTTGTTTGACGATATAGCATTTTATCTTGTATAGGTCCCGAGTGAAGATGTTTAGGTTGATAGTCATATTGGGAGCCCGATGCCGGCGTCGCCATTTCAATCCTACACAAGGTAACCAAAAAAAAACAAATCAACCAAACCATAAACATTCGGCCAAATAAACAAGACTACCAAACTATATACATTCGGCCAAATAACAAAACTACCAAACGATGTACACTCGGCCAAAAAAAACAAATCAACCAAACCATAAACATTCGGCCAAATAAACAATACTAGCAAACCATAAACATTCGGCCAAATAAACAAGACTACCAAACTATATACATTCGGCCAAATAACAAAACTACCAAACGATGTACACTCGGCCAAAAAAAACAAATCATCCAAACCATAAACATTCGGCCAAATAAACAAAACTACCAAACTACTATATACATTCATAATTCACTATATCAACACCACATCTATAAGCAATTCACAATACACACAACTTAAATTCAACACAAACACTATATCAACACAAACCAACCACAATTCAAAAAAAAAAAAGGACTCGGATTTCACAAAGAAAAAAAAAATTTGACAAAAAAAAATAAAGAGAGGATCGCGAATCAATAACTTACGGTGAGGAATGGAGGAAGTCGGGAGGAGTGGAGGAAGTCGCCGGAGGTGGAGAGAGTCGGAGGGAGTCGCCGGATTGCAAGGAGTCGCCGGATTATCCAGAGGGAGGAGAGACGCCGGATTGTCCAGAGGGAGGAGAGACACCGGAATCTGGAAATGGAGTCGCCGGAATGCAAGAGAGTCGCTGGAAATCACGGAGGGAGTGGAGGGAGTCGCCGGATTGAGTGGTGGGAGTCGCCGGATTTTTGTTTAATTGGAGTTTAGTTTTAGGGTTTTTTAATTCTGGAATTGGGGGGAAAATGGGAAGGGAAGAGTTGACCGAACAATATATAGTCCCGTCAAACTCGGATTTGCTAAATCCGAGTCTTCACTATTTCCCTCAAATTTCAACTCTCAGATGGTTTCACAAACATGGATTTCTGAACTCCGAGTCCTTTGCAAATTAAAAAAACTCTGAGTTCGGATTAGCTAAATCCGAGTCTTCACAATTTCCCTCAAATTTCAACTCTCGGATGGTTTCACAAACACGGATTTTTGAAATCCGAGTCCTTTGCAAATTAAAAAACTCTGAGTTCCGATTAGCGAAATCCGAGTTGTTACTGTTTCTCCTCAAATTTCAACTCTCGGATGCTTTTCACAAACACGAATTTCCTAAATCCGAGTCCTTTGCCAATTCGAGGAAATCTCTAAGCTCAGATTTATAAAATCCGAATCTCCCATGTTTCTTCTCAAATTTCAACTCTCGGATGCTTTTCACAAACACGGATTTCCTAAATCCGAGTCCTTTGCCTATTCGAGGAAATCTCTGAGCTCGGATTTATAAAATCCGAATCTCCCCTATTTCTCCTCAACTTTCAACTCTCGGATGGGTTTCACCCATTCGGATTTCGATAATCCGAGTTCTTTGCAATTTCAAAAAAAAAACTCTGAGCTCGGATTTCTGAAATCCGAATCCCTTACAAAACCTTACAATGATGAGTATTTTGCACAATCCGATGTACTGTTATGAAAAATAGTGCATATTTCATCACACTTTACAATCCGAAAAATTCAATGTTCACATTACAATCCGAATTTATCAATGTTCACATAAATTTATCAAACACTAAATAACTTACAAGAACAGTAAATTACACTCAATTCCAGCTGTCATTCACAGGTCTTCTATCTACTCCTGGGTGCGAGAACAGACAAGAATTGGCATCATGACCTAGTTGTCCACATCTCCAACATTCCCCCCGGCTCCGGCGTCCCCTGTAATCCATTTGCATTCTATGTCTCCTTTTTTGTCTTCGTCCCGGTCCCGCATGCAACACAAGACGCTCATAATTCGGAATGATGTTCCAATTGACCATCGGCCATTGTTCCTCATCGGGAACCGGAACAAAGCCCGTGTAATGAAATTGTCTGCGCCACGTTGGAAGGCGCCACACACTATGGTATAGATCAATAGGCCGATCCCCTTTTCTCCGACAAACTTGGAGTGCGTGCGTACAAGGCATCCGGTACTCTTGCCACTTCCTGCACGAACACCTATGTTCATCGTAGTTCACCCTATGCAGAGACCCACCCCTGCCACTTAGGCGTGTGGCAGTAACAACACGCCACATAGCATCATCACCATCGAAAGGGGTGGCTTCAAAACCGGCTTGCTTTATCATTCATTTTCTCGTATTTTTCCATAACTCGGGAGGGATCGGTGTCATGCAATTTCTCGAGACAATTATTCTTCTCTATAGAATTTAACAGTTTTGCGAAAGGTTGCATCGATCAAGGCTCTAATTGGTAAAAAACGGATCCCTTTCAACGCATTGTTGTAACTCTCAGAAATGTTGGTTGTCGCTATGCCCCAACGGCGAAGACCGGCTTTCAATCGAGCCCGATTACTCCCCCAATCCCTCGAAGATACTCCCATGCAGCAGTTTGAATTCAATAAGCTCTGCCCTCATACGGTTGTATTTCACTCTTGAAAGCGTCGTGCCCATCTTCCAACATAACCGCTTCACCTTTTTGCTATTATATCGCGATACAAGATTGCTGCGAACATGGCGGAGGCAAAGAAAGTGCCCACCATCACCTAAATCACGCCATTCATCCATCTGTGACATTGCGCTCAACAACCCTGCATTCCGGTCGGATATCACACTTACGATTCTATCATACACAACCCACAACCTCAAATTCCTCATAAAAAATGTCCAACTCTCTACTGTCTCCTCATCAACAATCGCAAATGCAACCGGTAAAATGTGCTTGTTTGCGGTATACACCACCGCAACAAGCAATTTACCCTTGTATCCGCCACGCAAAAAGGTTCCATCGATACAAATGACCGGTTGACATTCAAAAAACGTCTCAGCCACCGGTGCAAATGACCAGAAGACGTATTTAAATGTCCGGTTTCCCCTGTTCCAACCTTCTTATCCCTCCTTCCATTCCCACTCTACTACAGTCTCAGGATTAGTAAACTTAAGCGCAGCGATATACCTAAACAACAACAAGTCATTGTTAAAATATTTCAATACATGTAAAAATAAAAATACTAAAAATATTTCAATACACGGATAAAAGTTGATATTTACCGTGGAAGTTCTTCGAAATTGGAGGTCCAATCACCATAGACCGCTTCTATGGCTTTCCTCCTCCCGTGCCACGCCCTTTTGTATGGCACATCTACTTTCAATAAGGTCTTCACATCTTTCTATGCCGAGGCTACCGTATAATCTACGTTGTCCTCAACCTTTCTCCTGATGAGTCTAGCAATCAAAGACGCATCCACACACCGATTGTCATTATCATTCACAGGAGTCATGCAATTATGTGCATCATGCCATCTCATAATTTCATGAAGGCCGTGAGCTTTCAATGACACACGCATCTTCCACTCACATGGTGGTTCACCATCCTCACTTTCCACATTAAATGTTCTGCACCGCACAGCCCACGTCCTTGGACTACTCGCGGCGACCGTATATTCCCTTTTATGATGGATATTCCATAATTTCACAGCATGCTTTGCTTCTGATTGAGTTTTGAAACAAACACCAATGTCCATTCCTTCGGGCGTTTCATCCCACATCTTAAGAGCAAACTCATCCTTGTCTACACATGAGGCATCCCAGTTCCCCATCTTACTATATACATGGCGTCGGGCGAATAGATTACAATCCCTTTCCTCATTTTCCAACCTTTCATCATCACTTTCTTCAAAATCACTCTCTCCGGAGACATCACAGTCTTCTTCGCTTTCACTTGGAGCTATGTAGTCGGAATCCAACTCTTCCCGGTAGTCATTTTGTGCAAATAAAGGTGTCTCCTCTTCATTATGGTTTCGAGAAGTACTAGCACGTTTCCCCCTTCGAAAATCACCAAATGACACGTTTTCCAAACTCGCTTCTCTTTCTTCTTGAGTGATATCTTCCAAATCTATGTATAAATCCAAACATGACATTGGATCTACACGGTTCATGAACTCTACATGCGAATCATTCTTGATCTTCACTACACGCCTACCACCGGGACTATCGAAAATCAAAGAAAGGTGGAGTTTCACGTGTGCTGGATCCCAACCAAGGGTCATACAAATCTTACTAATCAATCCCTCATATGACAACCTTTCTTCGACAAACAAACCATCATCCGGCATATTCAAAAAAGTGTTGATGCTACCGTTCTCTATCACATACTTGTATGATACAAATTAAGCATGTATGATACATTACGTGCCATTGATAACTGTTAAAAAAAACATCAATAACTAATCATTTCTTAATAACAAAATCAACAAAATACACCATACATTCTCTAAAATACACCATACACCATACACCATACATACTCCAACAAATACACCATACTAAAATACTTATAAATCAACTTCGATATCTCATGAACAACTATGATTTCTCATCTCTAACCTCAAAATCAACACCTAAAACATCCAAACAACCAACCAACATAAACCCTAATCTATCATACATCATTCTAACAATCAAAATAACACAAAAATAAACTAAATAACATGGTTTTGCAATCTAACCTCTTTCAAATAACGATTTCCACGTATCTAGAGGCAAGAATGCATCAAAAACTTCAATTCGCCCTTGTTTGAGCTGCAAAAACAGAAAATCCAACTCAGTTCTCGAATGAGAACTGCCTAAAATTTTTTTTCTTTTATAGCACGTTAAACTCGGATTTACGAAATCCGAGTACGTAAGTAACTCGGATTTTTGAAATCCGAACTACGTTAGATTCGGATTTCATAAATCCGGATTTAGTCAATTCAGGATTATTTTATTAATTTTTTGGTCCTCCAATTTAAGGCATATGCCTACTTCCACCAACCAAAATTAAAGGCATCCGGATTTCGCAAATCCGAATACGTCAAACCGGATTACGGACTTCCGGTTTTTTGGATTCAAAAATTTCGCGCCGCGATTTATTAATTTTTAACTAAACTCGGATGTTACAAATCCGAGCTTTACTGTTCATTTAAGAACTAAAAAAACTATTATTCAACAAAAATTATGAAATTATTATTTTATTATAAGTATGAATCCGGATTTGCAAAATCCGAATCTCTAATTTTAATCTAAACTCGGATTTCAGAAATCCGAGCAATATAATTCTGTCCACAAATATTCTGAAAAAATTAAATTTGTCCACGTTTATTTTATTTAATTTTTTTTGGGAAAAAGCCCTATTTTACAGGGCTCCAAAATTTGATTCGATGATGGAAAAAAAGAGGATGGAGAAATTTTTTGACCCTGAATTTTGCTTTTAGTTTTTTAGAGAAAATAAAGAAAAATGTAAATTTTGGAGGTGATGTGGATGTGCCAAGTAGGAGTGCCATATCAGTAGAGATAAAAGTAGAGTTATAAAAGTAGAGTGGAAAATCATTACTCGGTACAAAAACCCTTCCTTATAAATCCTTTGGTGAGAATCGAACCCTGGTCTATTAACGAGAGACAACCTGCAAACAAACAAGCAAAGAAACTTGTCATGACTGATGAGTATTTTCAAAGAGTTACACGGGCCCTTGTAATGCGTCTTAGGCAGCATGAAGAGACCGTACGTGTTGGATAAAGACGTAACTCGTAAATAGTTGTATTTACTTTTACGATTAGGGTTTGGTAAATTGTTCAATATGTGTATAAATATATCTCTGTATACATCAATACAAGTGTGATTTTACCAACTCTTTATAGTATCACGAGACTAGGTTTCTCCGAACCCTAAAACTCTCCCCTATTCGGCGGCTGTTTCACAACTTCTTTCTCCGCCGCCTGCTCAAGCTTTTCTGTCCGACGATGGCTGACAAAACCGCCGGCTCTTCGGACACGGTTCCGGCTGACAACACCAAACCTGCACCTCCTCTGGTTGATCCCCGTTCTCCCTTTTACGTTCACCCGTCTGATCATCCGGGTTTGAACTTCGTTACCCAACCCTTGGCCGAGAACGGAGACAACTTCTTCGCTTGGCGGAGTAGTTTCCTCACTGCTCTGCAATCCAAGAACAAAGCTGGCTTCGTTGATGGATCAATACCCATGCCGGCTGCTGATTCTGCCGACCTGTAGTCCTGGATTCAATGCAACGCCTTGATCAAGTCGTGGCTTCTCAACACCGTCTGCAAGGAGCTTCAAACCGAAGCCACTCACGTTCCTACTGCTCAAGCAATTTGGGCGGATTTTGATGAACGATTTACGCAAGGTTTGGCTCCCCGATTGTACGAATTGAAACGTTCCATTGCCTTGCTTCAACAAGAACGATCTCTCACTTCCACGTACTACGGCAAACTCAAAGCAACCTGGAACGAACTCCAAAATTTGCGCCCCTTTCCTGCTTGTGAATGCGGCGGCTGTACGTGTGATCTGAACAAGCAGCTTCAAAGCTTGACTGAGGAGGAGAAAGTTTTCAATTTTCTGATGGGCCTTGATGATACCTACAAGACGGTCCGTTCCCAGATTCTTGCTCTCGATCCTCTTCCTACACTCGGCCGGGCGTATGCCATCGTTGCTAGCAACGAAAAACAACGCCGCTTCGCCGATTCTCGGCTTCCGATTGTTGAAGCTGCCACTTTGGCCGTGAAAAGTTCCCCGGCCCGTCAAGCTTCTCGCGATTCTGCCGGCGCGAAGTCTCCCTGCAGCCACTGTGGTCGATTGAATCATTCCCGGGATTCATGCTATGCTCTTGTCGGGTACCCCCCTGGTTGGTGCAAACCTCGACAGAAACGGGAAGTGCAGTCTCCATCACGTGGTTCGGTTTCCAACCTCGTTGCTCCTGCTGATCCGGTTTTGCCTCCGCCTTCATCTGCTCCCTTGGCTTCATTATCCGCCGCCCAACTCCAGCAATTATTCCAAATGCTTGGCCAACAAGTCTCTTCCGACGTTGCTAAGTCTTCCACTGCTAATCAATTGTCTTCCACAAGTAAGCCGGCTGCTTGGGTGTGTGATTCGGGTGCTACCGATCATGCTTCCAATCAGTTGCAATCTATGACGGATGTCACTTTTCCTCAGGGTTCACTTTCTGTTCAAATTCCTAATGGTACACAGATTCCCGTTCAAGCAGTTGGTCGAATTAAACTTGATGACTCTTTACACCTGGATAATGTTTTGGGCATGCCTAATTTTCATTTCAACTTGCTCTCTGTTAGTCGGTTGACAAGAGATTTGAATTGTTTTTTCACTTTTGGCCCTGATTTATTTTTCATACAGGATTTAACCTCGAGGAGGCTGATTGGAATGGGTAAAGTGCGCGATGGATTATATTACCTCGAGCCCGTAACAGCTGGTGGTGAGAAGCGGATTCTTTCTGTTTGCAAAGGAGATACAACAACTCTCTGGCATCGCCGGTTGGGGCATCTGCCGGTTACCCGTCTTTCTTTAATTCCTAGCATTTCCGTTGTTTTTAATCCTTCCAGCACCTCTGCCTGTGATGCATGTTGTCGTGCTAAACAAACTCGTTTACCATTTCCTTTGCATCAAAATAAAAGTTTGAATATTTTTGATTTAGTGCATTGTGATATTTGGGGACCTTATCCCACTTCGTCTAAATCTGGTGCGCATTATTTCCTTACTATTGTTGATGATTACAGTCGGGTCACTTGGGTTTTTCTTATGCGCTCCAAATCTGAAACTAAGCGCTATTTGTTACTATTTTTTAACTGGGTTAATACACAGTTTAATGCCAAAATTAAAGTTTTTCGTACTGACAACGGTCTCGAGTTTTCTCATTCTTCCTTGTTGTCTCATATTTTTTATCATGGGATTGAAAAACAAACCAGTTGTCCTCATACCCCGCAGCAAAACGGGGTAGTTGAGCGCAAACATAGGCATCTCTTAGAAGTCGCACGGGCCTTGCGTTTTCAGGCAAATTTGCCAATTGATTTTTGGGGGGAATGTATTCTTACGGCCGCATACTTAATTAATCGTATGCCCTTATCTGTGTTGCAAAATAAGACTCCTTATGAACTTTTATATGGCCATCCACCTTCCTATGATCATTTGCGTAGTTTTGGTTGTTTGTGTTACGCTCATGTTTCTGCCAAACCTCGGGATAAATTTGCCTCTCGTGGTTATCCGGGAATTTTTATTGGTTACCCACAGGGTCAAAAGGGGTATCGGGTTTATGATCTTGATCGCCGGGTAATATACACTTCTCACGATGTTATTTTCTTCGAAAATATTTTTCCTTCCACTACCCCTCCTTCGCCTCCTACCCCACCCGTTGCGGTTGATCTTACCTATTCTTCCGCTGATCCATTTCCTCCTGTGGTTCCGACTGTGTCTCCGTCATCTCCTTCCTCTGATATCTCTTTAGATCCACCATCTTCTTCCTCCTCCCCTATGACGGATGCCCCTCCTCATCCTTTGAACCTTCCCTCTAAGCATACCCGGCAGGTTTCTCAGCGCCTCACTGGATATCACTACACTTTGCCACCTTCTTTGCAGTCCAGTCATAATCCATCGTCGCCCTCTGCCTCTCCTTCGGTCAACTCAACGGTACATCCTCTCTCTCACACTTTGTACTATTCTAGCTTTTCTAAAGCTCACACTGCCTTGTTAGCTGCCATTTCTTTCGTGGATGAGCCCACGAGTTTTTCCCAGGCAGTCAAATATGCACACTGGCGTGATGCTATGGCCAAAGAAATCTCGGCTCTTGAGGCCAATCATACTTGGAAGCTCGTTCCTTTGCCTCCTGGTAAGCGAGCCATTGATTCTAAATGGGTGTACAAGGTTAAGTTTCTTCCTGATGGCCGGGTTGAGCGCTACAAAGCCCGTCTGGTTGCTAAAGGCTATATGCAGATTGAAGGGGTTGATTTTCATGAGACTTTTGCTCCTGTTGCTAAATTGGTTACCGTTCGTTGTCTCATTGCTGTTGCTTCCATCCGCCATTGGGAACTTCATCAGCTCGATGTTACTAATGCCTTCCTTCATGGTGATCTTCATGAGGAAGTATACATGAAAATTCCTCAGGGCTTTTCCACAAAGGGGGAGCACCGTGTCTGTCGTCTTCAAAAGTCTCTATACGGATTGCGTCAAGCCTCTCGGAATTGGTATCAGAAATTCACTCAGTCACTGGTTTCTGCTAGATTCAAGGAGTCCTCTTCTGATTCTTCTCTATTTATCTACAGTAGTGGGTCTTCCT